CAATGCTCATCCCATTACCTCTTCCTCCAGCGAGGCTCCACCTCCTAAAGGTTCCACAGCCTTCCCAAATAGCACCACCAGCTGGGGACCAAGTGTTCAAACATGGGAGTCTCTGGGAGACATTTCTCATTCAAAGCACAGCATTTGTATCCATTACTTCCCTGTAGTTAAGTGGCCCCTTGTTGACCAACATGGTAGGCCATTATGACTCATTTGCAAGATCACTTCATTATACCATTATTCTCACGTACTACCATTTGTTTCTAATTATCATCCGATGGGTCAGCTAGAATTTTCTAACTACATTTTTATAACTTTTTCTTCTGATTAAAAGTGGCTTTTACTCATTGGAGAAGGATTACAAACAATAAACTGCTGTTAACATCCATGAGATTTCATCTTTTATCCCCAACCATGTTTTAAATATAGATTATTTTAAAACTTTATTTTAAAAGGGAAATTATGTGTACATATGTGCTTATATGATTTATATGTATAGATGATTATATACATATATACCCATAATCTTACCCCATTTTTCTATGAAAAAATTTATAAAAATAGTGTTCTAGTTCGTTTATTATTATGTCAAAATACTCTGACCAATACCAACTTGGGGAGGAAAGAGTTTATTTGGCTTACACCTCCTGGCTCACAGTTCATCAGGGAGCCCAAGGTAGGAACTCAGGGCAGGAGCCCGGAGGCAGGAGCTAAAACACTGCTGACAGGCTTGCTCCCATGGCCCGTGCTTAGCCTGTTTTCTTATACAATGTAGAACAACCTGCTCAGGAGTGGCACCACTCACAATGGACTGGGCCTTCCCACATCACTCAACAATCAAGAAAATAGTCCACAGATATGGCCACAGGCCAGGCCGATGGAAGCAATTCCTCAGTTGAGGCTCCCTCTATTCAGGTGTGTCAAGTTGACAACTAAAGCATCCAGCACAAATACTTACTTCAGTTTTTTATTATTTAAAACGAAATGCTTTGTATCTTGTTTACAATGATGAACATTGATGTGTTCACATGGGTCAGGATAAAAATATCAGGAGTACGGTAATGAGTCTTCCTTTTACTTTCCATTGCATAATCTGCTTCTTTTCTCTGGAGAAACCGATTTGAACCATTTCTCTACTCCTTTCCAATGACAGTCTATGCAAAACATATACATGTGTATCCACTCTTCTGCCCCATCCCCAAATCGTCATATTTTATAACCTTATTTTCCATACATATAGATTCTTTTATATCAACACATAAAGAACCCTTTTTTCTCATGTGCCAATTAGTATGGTATTACATGAATGCAGCATGTTATATTTCACCTGTACTCTGTGGACAAGCATTTAGGTGATTTACAAGGTTTGGCTATTACAAGTTGAAAGGGTAGCCCACAAGTATAAAATTTCCTGTACTTGAGAGCATACATGGAAGATAAGTTCCTGGGAGTTGACTTTCTGGATAGAATGAATAGTTTAAATTATGATAGACCTTCCAAGAACCTAGACTATAGCATCAATTCTTCAGTAAGTATTTTTTGTCCTTTTATGGGTGGTGGGGGGGTTTTCTGGAGATGGAACCCAGGGCCTTGTACACACATGAATGCCAAACACAATACTGAGTTACACTCTGAGCACCCTCTGGCATTTGTCAATGAAGGATCGTGTTGCCAGATTGTTCTCCACAGGCTGTACCAGTGCTTGAGTATAAGTTAGGTCTCATGCTCTAGCATCCTTGTCAACACAGTTTTTTCTTAAAAAAATATTTTATTTATTATTTTTATTTTATGTGTGTGAGTCCATTGCCTACATGTATGTAAATGCACCTATGTTGTACAGTGCCTGTGGAGGTCAGAAGAGGGTGTCGAATCCCCTGGAACTGAAGTTATGGATGGTTTTTAGCCACCATGTGGGTGCTGGGATTTGAACCTGGGTCCTCTGTAAGAGCGGCCAGTGCTCTTAACTGCTGAGCCATCTCTCCAGCCCTGACAACACAGTTTTTGATAGTTCATACTCCTATTTGTTAGTTTTTTTGTATGTCTGTTGTTGTATCTATGACAAATATCTGCAAGAAACAATTTAAAAGGAGGAATGACTTATTTGGGCTCACACTTTCATAGATTTCAGTCTATGGTTGTCTAAATCAATTACTTTGGGCCTGAGGTGAGGCTGAATATCTTGGTGGGGGAGGGATTATGTATCGATACTGTTCATCTCATGGCAGACAGGAAGCAGAGACACAGGAAGGGGTGGAGGACAGGGAATACCCTTAGTGACCTACTTCCCAGTTTGGCCCCACCTCCAAAACTTTCTGTCAACTCCCAGTTGGATGTCAGTCCTTCACCAGATCAGCCGATAGGGACATTCCATATTCAAACTATAGCATCCCATATTTATACATTTAAGTTGTCTCTAGATTTTACTCTTAACTGATAATGTTGTGGGCTAGGGATATAGCTTAGTTGGTAGAGTGCTTGCCTCACACATATTAAGCCCTGGGTTTGATCTCCACCCCTGAATAAACCAGTGTACACCAGTGGTAATACCAGAACTGAGGAGTTAGAGGCAAGAGGATTAGCAGTTCAAGGTCGTTTTTGGCTAGAGTTTCAGGCTAGCCTTGGTTACTAGATGTGACCCTGTTCAGATCAAGCAAACGGATAATATAATGGTTAGTTCTGTATATAAATATTTGTAAGACTTTTTATTCTTAGAATTGATATCTAGATATAGAATTATGGGGTCCAAGAGATTGCATTGTTCTTAATATATACCCCAATTATTCTTGAGAAAAGTTATGAAATGTAATATTCCTACCAGAAGTATGCACAAATGCTTTAGTTATTGCATCCTGGTTAAAAGTTTTTTAAAAATATTTTATTTCTTATTTTTAATTTATGCTCATGCGTGTATTGCCTGCATATAGATATGTGCACCCTTGTAATGCAGTGCCACGGAGGGCAGAAGAGGGTGTCAAATCCCCTGGAACTGGAGTTACAAATGGTTGTTACCTGTCATGTGGGTGTTGGGAATGGAACCTGGGTTCTCTGCAGGAGCAGCCAGTGATCTTAACTGCTGAGCCATCACTCCAGCCTCCATCCTGGTTAAAAGTTTTATTATGAAAATCTTTAAAAACCAAATATTTACTTGAATTTTATAAGGTACCTCTGAGTACCTTACATGAGATGTGATTTCAAGACTGTTGAGCATTTTGTGAAGTGCTAATGCTCAATTTTTCTCTGGGGTATAGTTTTGATAATTTGGATTCACTGTCAGAATGACTTGTTTTCCTTTACTTCCGTGGACCTAATGTGGTTTCTGATAGGCCTGGGGTTTCCCTGTGGGCCTAGTTGAGACCCAGATTGCAAGGAATGTCTCTGTGATTCTGAGACTTTTTGTGACGAAACAGGACCTGGAGTGTCCCCTTGCGGGGAGATGGAGGTGCGAGCTGATGAGACAGAGCTCAGAATGTGGCAGTCAGTGACGAGTCTGCATTAGCCTGCTGTTTATTAGACTGATTCAGTTTGGTAGATGTCTCTGAGGGTGAGGATCTGTTGCATACGTTGAACTGGGCAAGTTCATAACCAGCGAGCCCGTGATGTCTTTGGGTTAGTGTTTTCTTGTGTCTTACAAATGATTGTCTTTTTTTTTTTTTAATTTGGTTTGATTATGACTGTTGTGTGTGTGCATGGTGTGTGTGTGTGTGTGTGTGTGTGTGTGTGTGTGTAAGAGTATATGTATAAGGTCCGAGGACAACTTTTGGGGAATCGATTCCCTCCTTCTGCCATGGCTTTAAGGATCGTGTGCAGCGAGTGCTTTTGCCACTGAGCCGCCTTCCTAACGCCTGTTCTGTTATTGTTGCTTTGTTTCATTGCTTGACTATTTCTACTATTTTAAAAATTTATTGAATTTTAATGGGATATAATACAAGTATAAATGCTATATAATATAAATGCAAATGTTTCTAAGTTTATATTGTAGAGTTAAGTATTCCCTTTTTCAGCTGTGGGACTCATAAATGTGTTTTCTGTTTGTTTTGTTACTCAGGATCTGAAGTAGCCAGGTTAGCCTCAAACTCACCATGTAGTTGAGGATGACAGTGAACTTCTGATCCTCTTGCCTCAACTTCCCAAGTGTTAGAATTACAGGCGTGTGCCCCCATATCTGATTTATGTGAGTGAGCCTGCATGTTAGGCAAGCATTCTAATAACTGAGCAACACCTCCAACCTAATGTGTACTATTTTTCTCTCTTGAGGCAGCTTATGGTGTCATGGTGGAAACAGGTTTGGGCTTGATTGATAGTGTGCCCGGAAGGGCTTTGCCCTGGCCCTCATTGTGTAGTTGTTGTCTCAGTTTCCCCAGCACTACGGTAGGAGGTAATAATATCCACCAGCTGGGGTTGTTAGGAGCGTTCACTCATACGTGTTCCTGCTTAGGTCAGCTTAGAAAGTGGAAAATGGCTGTTTCTCAATGGATGTTAAACAGGTGTAATGAAGAGACAGTAGGGGAGGGAATCTCTTTGAATTATAAACTATTATTAAAGAGAACAGTTTTAGAAATTATTATTTGTATATTCAGTAACATCTTGCTAACTTGAGGCCTTACAAATATGGATAATGAGAGAGATTAGTATATTCAGTTAAAATGATCTAAGTCCTACTCAGTTTTTTAAAGATTGTTTTGAATGTAGGTAAACATGCATTTTTATTTATAGCATCACCACTTTTTGAATCTACACTAGTGTAAAGATAATTAGCTTATACTATATGGTCCAGAATTTTACAGATCATATTGTTAGGGCATATTATATATTTAGAAGAAATTAGATGGTTCAGCAATTTTACGTGGAAGGGCTTTATAGTCGCCCTTTTCACTTACAGCCCTCAGTAATCCTGCCGAAGAGCCGAGCTGTGAAGCACTCACTTAGCTCCCGTGATGTTATTTTCGTGGTGACTCTTCTCAGCCCTTTTCTCACCTTTCGTTTTTGTCCTTCACTTCCAGGAGCTGACTAGCGCACTGGTGCATTTAAAATTGCATCTTTTCATCCAAGTCTTTACACTTGCCTTCTTCCCAGCAACAATATGGCTCTTTCTTCAGCTTTTATCGGTCACATCCATCAATGAATGGCTTCTGAAAGGGTATGTTTCAACCTTTTGAAGGGTGTTCTTTTAATGGGGCATATCCAGTGACATCATTGTTTCTATGGCAACTGTATACAAAAGGACTTGTGTGTGTTATCTTACAGGAAAGAAAAATAACTTTTCACCTTGACTGTTCGAACAATAGTGTTTCATCAAAGACATTCATGAAAGAATTGTTTAACAGACTCTTAAGACAGATTCCTGTGCCTAATGTTAAGGTTCCAGGGTGGACACTGTGGGCATTTTAAAGAGTAAGAGAGGGGCCAAGGAGATGGCTAGTGGATAAGAGCTCTTGTCGTACAAGCATGAGGACCTGAGTTCAAATGCCCATCACCCACGTGAAAAGCTAGATGTGGCCGAGCACATCTGTAACCCCAAGGTTGTAGGGGGTTGAGATGGGAAAATTGATGGGGCTTGTTGGCCACCAACTCAGCTCCAGGTTCAGTGAAAGACTGCCTCAAGGGAATTATATGGAGAGTGAGAGAACGGGACACATGATGCTTCCTGTGGCCTCTGTACCTGTGTACATGGGTATATCACACACACACACACACGAGTAGGAAGATATGGGAATAGATTAGAGGATTTCAGATATGTCTGAATGTGAATGTAGGCTATCAATTGGTGCCTTAACTTTGCCTTTTCAAATGTGTATAGATAATGACTGGGTCCTAAGGTGTATTTTTAAAATGCATAATAAAAATACATGTGTGGGACAGATACTTGATTTCTCACTTGTTCTTTTTGATATTGATGTTATTGTTGATTTAACAGTAGGTTAGAATCTTGTCTTTCATGAAAAGCATTACCATGCTTAAGGAAAAGAATTTAACAATTAAAAAAATTAATTATAATGGTTTAAAACTAACCACATTTCAGCATCATGGTATAATAGCTAAAACACTGACCATAGAGCCTGAAGGTTGTGTTCTGTCCCTATGCCTGACATGCTCTGTGACTGAGCAAAGTATCTCATGGTTTGGACCTCAGGTTTTTTGCATATAAAATGAGGGTAACCATATTTTCACCACATACTTCATAATGATGTTGGGTGCATCAACTTTTTCTACCCATGACGTCATTTATTTGTTATCTGCTTATCTCTACTGTGTGTCAGGAATTATTTCAGATGTTAGAGAAAGAACAGTGGGCAAAATTGGCCGTGTGCCCATGCATTGGCCCACTGGGGAGACTCAGAGTTGATTGTCAGTTCTCAGCAAGTAGATGAGCAAGGGAAAGATGAGCAATGTGGGTGCAGTGGGGTTGGGTGGCCAGACTGATAACTGAATTGCAGAGTTCTTCAGGAAGAATGTTCTAGGCAAAGGAAACAGTGTACAAAGACTGTAAAGGCAGACACAAGCCCTGTAGGTAGGCTCAGTAGAGCGTCCCAGGGGGCATATCCTGGCCGTGTGGTAGAAGGATAATAAGATTTGGAGGTGGAAGGTACACAGGAGCTGGATGCACAGAGCTTGTCAGCCATGCTCAGTGTCCATAGGAAGCAACGGGAGGGGGCTGGAATGAGGGAGGCATGTGGTGGTCTGATTTATATTTGTGAGTGACTCTTTTAGCCGTACTGTGGAGAGTAGATGTGGAAAGAATTGAAGCTAGGAGATGAGTGTCTCACCTGAGGGGTGAGGTAGGGGTGTAACGGAGAGAAATGAGATGTGTGTGGCAGGATTGATTATAATAGAACTCTCAGGAGCTGTGGATAGAGAGGTTAGCAGTCACCAAGAGAGACTTCAGGGCTTTGGGGTTGGATCGTGGGGGTGACTGGCAACTTCTTTACTTAGCTATGGGAACACAGCAGGAGTAGAAAGGGCAGTACGCACCAGATCGAGTTTCAGAGAATGGGCATTTCTTTTCACCAACAAGCCTGAAATGCCACATGAATAAGCTGACATCATTTTGGAAGAATAAAGTATTCATGTGTATAAAGAACAGGAATTGGGGCTGGAGAGTTGGCTCAGCAGTTAAGAACACTGGTTGTTCTCGCAGAAGACCCGGGTTTGAATCCCAGCACCCACATAGCAGCTAACAACTGTCTGTAACTCTAGTCCCAGGGGATCCAACAGCCTCTTCTGACCTCCGTGGGAACTGCATGACACAAGTGCACTTATCTACATGCAGGCAATACACACACACACACACACACACACATAAAATAAAAATAATAAATAAAATAAAAAAAAATATGAAAAAAAAAGAACAGGAATTACTAAGTATGTGCCAGGCATAGGACATCCACGGAGTAGGAAGACACTGTTTTTACTTGTCTTCGGGGAATTCCGAACCCAGCTGAATGTATAGTACATTCTGTACCTATATATTATATGTCATTTATGCTGTATATGTATATTTTATGCATATGTGTATGGTAAATAATATGACATATAAAGCTCAGCAAGGGTTGTGTGCTGAGAGCAGAGGGGTCTAAAATGAGGCATTAGCGAGAGGCAGAAAGTTTCTTTATGGTCAGCTAAGCAGAGTCATGAGCTACTGGGCTGAAGAATTTGGGCTTGAAGCTATAGAGGAGGGAGAGCTTAAACAAGAGAACACATGAGCTGAAAGGTGGTCACTAAAAGATCAGTCTCAAAACATGGCATACGTTGAACGAGGAGAGTAGCACTCGGGATCCCCGGGTGGTAAGTAAAATATGCACCTCACTCTCCCCTTGGGGTGTTAAGGGAGTGGCACCAGGTCTACCTCATTTAGATCCCCTTTGTTCTCCCTTGCCCTCCCCGATTTGAGAAGGCACACTAGCAAGTTAGTGTCCTAGTTTGCTTTTCTGTTGCTGTGATAACACCAGGATCAGAAGCAACTGGGGGAGGACAGGGTTTATTTCATCTTATACTTCCAGGTCACAAACAGTCCATCACTGAGTAAAACCAGGGCAGGAACCTGGAGGTTGAAGCAGAGACCGTGGAGGAATGCTGCTTACTGGCTTGCTTCCTCCTAACTTCCTTAGCTACCTTTTTTATACAACTCGGGCCCAGCTGCCTAGGGATGGCGCTACCCACAGTGGGATGGGCCCTCCTACATCAATTAGAAATGAAGAAAATGCCTCAGATACGGCCACAGGCAGATCTGATGGAGGAAATGTCTTGTTTCTTCCCAGGTGATTCTAGTTTGTGTCAAGTTGACAATTAAAAACTAACCAGTACAGTTAGCTCGAGGGAGTTCAAACTTTACCTCAAGATCATAGTAAAATAAAAGTATTCTCTAATAACATTACAACATGAAAATGTCACTTATGAGTTTAAGAACTGCTGTTTCTATAAAGAAAGAAGTTGAAAATATATGTTTGTATTATAATTTTGAGGCTTATTTTATACCAAAAGATCTTCTATAAAAATATAAAGATGGGACTAGAGATTAAAGATTGCTCATTAAAGATTAAAGATGGCTCAGTGGTTAAAAGCACCTACTGCTCTTGCAGAGGATCCAGGTGTGGTTCCCAGCACCCACAGGGTGGCTCACAAATGCCTGGTGCTACAGTTCCTGGGGGTTCACTGCTTCCTGGCTTCTGTGGACAACTGGATGCACCAGAACTGAAGCAGACACACACACTTACATGTAAATTAAAAAAACAAAACAAAACAAAACAAAAACTTTAAAGAACTATGAGGAAGTTTTTTTTGTTTTGTTTTTGTTTTTTCTGTTAGCATAGGAATTTACCATATGGCCCAGGTTGTCTTTGAACTCATGATCCTGCCCAGATTATAGGAGTATACCACTGTGGCAGTTCATAAGGAAGATTTCTATGAAAATAACCCAAGATTATATTACCCATTTTGATTGTCTTTCAATGTCTCCACTTACTGCAACCTCACAGTTTTCATATTTCTGTAACTCTAAGTTTTTTGTGCGTTTGTTTGTTTTTAATAAGGCAGGGCCTCATGTATGTCAGGCTAACTATGTCCTTAAGAATGATCTTGAATTATTGATCCTGCCTCCTGCCTCTATCTCCTGAGACTTGGGATATAGGCATACCTGATTTTGTGTGGTGCTAGGGATCAACTTTGTGTTAGACAAGTACTCTACTAACTGAGCTATACTCCTAGCCCCTCAAAGTTTAAATAACTTAAAAAAATAAAAGCACCTCAGCTTGTAGACTGTAATGAGCACTCAGAGGCTCTGCACTTACCACGTCTAATCCACGTTGTCCCATATTGCCTAAACTGATCAGGGAATGTGTATCAATAAACACTATCCTATTATATTTGCTCAGCGCTGTTATGTAGAGTGAATGTAGAGGAAGTTATTTATAAGTGGATATGAGGAACTATTTACAATTGGATTTTCTTTTATTTTTCAGTTTGCAGACAGTAGGTTGCATGCCTCCCCCTGTGTCTTCTGCCGTGATTTTAACCAAGGCAGTTGGTGGAAATGAGGTGAGTCATGGGGCTAACCCGATTTAAACACAAGTGTGTGCTGTGCTTTTATTTTGTTCAAGACCCTGTTTAAAACATTAAGGAATCATTACAGAAAATTCAAGACATTCACAGGTTATGAAAGGTGTGGTTGTTTGCGTGTATGAGGATGATGCTAAGTGGAATTCAGGATTTCAAAGAGAAGAGCGAGGAAGGTGGTCGAAGTAGGGATGCTGATTCATTTCCCAGCTCAATAGGAAGTTGAGAGATGAAGGACAGGAATCAAAAGAAAGGAGCTTCTCCTATTGGATTCACAGATGTGAGGCTCTTCTTTACTTCAAAAAAAAACAAAACAAAACAGAAGATAATAAATTAAATGGGTAGGAAAAGATTCAGTATGTTTACTGACAAATAAAAATGAGAAATTAAGCTACATTTCTGGGATGAGTTCAAAGAAATTACTCAATTGCTATAACACTCTGGCAAAATAATTGTCTTGAAATCTTGAGGTAGCAGCTGTCCATTTGAGAAACTACTGATCGGTGGTTCTTCCTTGCTTGAAAGACCCCATGAATTCATCCTGAGGGACCTTTCTTTGTAACAAGTTCCCTTTGCACCTCTGAAGAAAATGCCCTCAGCTGAAATAGAAGAGGGTCCTCGTCACTACGTATATAACTGTTTTCCAAGCACCCCGTTACAATTTTCATCCACTTATTGTTTCTAAAAGTACTTTACTGAATGCCTGCTGTATTAGCTAACTTTCTATTATCTGTCTGTCTGTCTGTCTATCAATCAATCACCTACCTATCTCTGTAAAACTATCATCACACTCAAGATAGTGAACACATTCATCATCTTCTGTGTCTCCATTTGTATTGCTCTACTAGAATACATGAAACTGGATAATTTATGAAGAATAGACATTTCATACAGTTTGGGGATAGGGAATTCTAGGGTTGAGTAACCTGAATCTGCTGAGGGAGCTCCTTGGTGACCATCCCTTGGTGAAGCCTGAAGTGGGTAGAAGAATGTGTTAAAAAGAGTAAGACAGAACCTCACAGCCCAAGTCCATTTTTAAACAGAATTAATTCATTCTTGAGGGTGGATCTCTTATGTCTTAAGCAACTCACGTTATATTGTACTTTCCAGCATGCTTGCCATAGGGATTAAATTTCTAGTGCATAAATTCTGGGGCGCATACTCAGCTGTTTTAAATTTGATTTATTACTTTTATTTTATGTGTATGAATATATTGCCTGCATGTATGTAAGTGCACCCATGTTGTGTGATGCCTGTGGAGGTCAGAAGCATGCATCGGAGCCCCTGGAACTGGAGTCACAGATGGTTGTTAGCCACCATGTAGGTGCTGGGAATCGAACACCAGTCCTCTGTAAGAGCAGCCAGTACTCTTAACTGCTGAGCCATTTCTCTAGCCCCCTTGTTTTGTTTTGAGATGCCTTCTCATTATGTTGCCCAGGCTGGCTTGAACTTCTGCCTTAGCCCTGCATATGCCACCACACCTAGTTTGGAGTAGTGAGTATCCATGTCCACATTTTTACCTGGACATATACTGCCATTTTGCTTGGGAACACTTATTAGTGGAATGGCTGGATCCTTTCATAAGTTTATGTTTTAGTGCCTTTTATTCCAAGGAAGAATTATCTTTGTATAATTTTAATCTATTAAAAGTTTCTAAAGCTGACAATTTTTATCAATATAGAACATTTTTCTCAATCACAAATGAGTGATTCTAAACTAATTTCCAAAGCAATTGTAGCATTTTACGTTTAAACCGCTAGGGATGAGAGTTCTTATGGGTTTAGTCAACCCTTGGT